GGAATCGCGAGACTATCTCTGTCCACCGTAAGCACGGGCCTGCGGACGGCAAACACGGGTGACTCGCCGCCCGACCAAAATCAGACCAGAGCGTACGCGCCACAAAGAGAAATCAGACTACCATGTACGGCGCCCAATAGGGCTGATGCCACAGAAATATTAAAAAATAGTATCTTCTTCTTTATTATATCTATGGCTGATGCCAATACGGAGCCGCGGAGAATCTAACGGGTTACCGGGGCTCCGGCTCGACGTGCAGGAGAAGGAACGCGGTGGTTTTTAGTCAGTAAGAGTCTCACACTACCTCCCACCTCATCTATGCGGGAGAAGGCAGTCGATGATTTTTCTCCCTTAGAAAAAAAAACCCTCACATAAAACTGTTTGTCTGAATGTTGCTCAGTTGAATTTCCGACCTTTTCTCATTACGAAGACAGGTTCAGGTTTATCAAAGACTACTGCTGCCTAGTCTCTATTAAATACGTAATCATTTAGGCCGGTAAAGCGCTTCTGTTTCTCTGGTGTTCCAGGTGCCCATGTATGGCACTAATTACTTGCCACATGTGATCTTTTTTTTTAAGACATAGGATGATTTTAGAAAAAAATAGCACCTGTGATCTGTTTGCTCGTTTACCGGCTTATGCCATAAAAAATTAAGGAGTCTTTGATACACTTATGAACTGTTTAACTCGTCGAGTACCGGTTTTGTAGACACAATTATAGAACAATAGGTTGCGGTCACCGGTGACCGCGCGGTGTTTGACATTTTAACTGTGTAGGTAGGAATGTATGTATGTATATATGTATGTAAATATGCTTGTGCGCAAATATCTCGTGATTAGGTGAGCCGATTTTGATGCGGTTTGCAGTAAGTGTTTGTTACAATTAGAAAATGATGGTCTATTATATTGTAACTATAACCAATACATAATACCATGTTGTTACGCAAATGTCTTTCTTTATCTTTAGAAAAAGGTAAACCGACCTCAAAAAGCGGTTAAAAACGATTTTCTAAAACGTAGTTTATAAGTGAGTTATTTTACTTTGAAATTTATTTAAACTGTCAAACACCAAGCGGTCACCGGTGACCGCAACCTATTGTTCTATAATTGTGTCTACAAAACCGGTACTCGACGAGTTAATTATTTATTTTATTTATTTAATTCAACACATCCTAACAGGTTACACCGAATGCGATAATGTTGTCACTTAATATAAAAACTTATAATTAACATTAATAAAAAAAACTTAAATTAAAACTATTACTACTAACCCAATTAAGCCTGTGCTTAACAAGATGGTATCATTTACTGAATATCTCTGTAGCTTAATATTAAGTTAAATTAAGTAGTAACATAGAAATCCATAACCTGATTGGATGTCGCCTGAAGCGCCTTCCGCGACTGATTACTCGAAGACACATTTGCTGCCAATTAGTGTTCGGGGAACTATATTTAGATGTAGTTGGGGACAAAATTATTAACACACCCTTAATTATTGATTATTATTTGGAGCTTTCTTGTCCGTTCTTGGCGAAATCGACTAGTTTCTGAATTATTTTTCACTTAAAATTCAGTTGGACATCGTTTTCGTAGTGATCAAATTGTGACAAGACTGTTTTCTGACTGTAATAACTATTCACCCCTAGACACCCTTAAAACACATGTCTACACCTTTATACATGTCGGAGTCGCGGAGAACCTAACGGGTAACCGGCGCTCCGGCTCGACGTGCAGAAGAAGGAACGGGGTGGTTTTTAGTCAGTAAGAGTCTGACACTCCCTCCCGCCTCACCCAGGCGGGAGCAGTCATTCGATAATTTTCCTCTATTAAAAAAAAAAACACCTTTATGCATATTAAAACTTTAGTATGACATACTAAATTAATTATTATGTTTTCGGCTTACTTACCTAACTATTTGACGGGGAACACGGCAGAATTATGGCATAGGGCGCGCTGGGCCTGCACCGCAGAAGACTCGAGTAGCTAGTAGCAGCGCGACAGTCACCGCGTCGCATATCGCGGAATGCTGCTCATGAATATGAGCCTCTAGCATGGCTTGAAACTAGTCGAGTTCCTCGTAAACAGTTACGAAAACATAATATTTAACATTTTTCTACACGATTTGAGTGCTTCGTTGGTCGAGTGGTCGCAAGTGCGACTGCCGGGCAAGGGGTCTCGGGTTCGGGTAAAGTATTACTGGGTTTTAAAAAAAATCTCAGTAGTAGCACGGAGTCTGGAAATGAGCCCGGTATATGGCAATAGACTCACCCCCTATTATATGGGACGCATAACATAAATAGTGAAAAATGGGTGTTACTTCTGTGTGCACCTCTGCCTACCCCTTCGGGGATAAAAGGCGTGATGTTATGTTATGTTATGTTATGATTTGTTACCTAAATCGTTTTCTAATTGCTCCTAACCAACCTGTCCATTCATACAGAAGTTAACATTTTAAACATTCAACACAAATACAACGAAACATTCACCATTACACATCAAAGCACTAAAATCCCACCCAGCCATTAATTCATAAATACGAAACTTCTATTTAATGACGGTCCCAATTTCCCTGCAACACACTGTACGCCTGTATAGAATATAGCAGAAGTTTCTAATCAACGTTTTACGGCCACCCTATATATCAGTTCTATATTGATGACGTAACCGTTGCCTAGCAACACCTAAACTAGACACCAATTCATGTAAATTAGGTAGTTGGTAACATCACTAAATGGCCATTAACGCCTACCCTTTGGGCTTTTGAATTGAGAAGCCCGATAATTGGTGAATTTACCCTGCATTTTAGTGTAAAGGGAAAATATATGAAGCTTCAATGAAATGCTACACTTTAAAGTCTATTTTGCGACTTATTAATGACTTTTTAACACGCTTTGCATTCAGTCTCGGGTGTTACTTTGCGTCGATTAATTCATACTAATTGTTTACAGAATACGGAACCGAATTCAAACATTCAAAACTAGAATTAGTTCTTTAGCTTTGATATCGAGTTGATGTGTTAAAAAATGTTTTTTTTTTTGTTTGGCATACGAGTCTTTAGAACTATCTTGTCGACTATACTGCCAATAACGAAAATGTTAAACGGGTAACTACTTTGAACAAAGCAATGTCTTGTGACATGACGTCATCAGTACGTCACCTTTGTCATCAACTCTGTTTACAAACAAACATTAAAATAATAACATTAATTTCATTTTGTGCAGGTATGTAGTTTTAAGTTTCTATTAGCTTTAATTTTGGTCAATTTTGTTCTTTTTCTTTGTTCATGCCATGTTACGCAGTGTCTTAGTTTTTACCGTTTTTCCTGTCGAAGGACTGCAGGAAGAGATTCCTACGGGAATATGTAGTGCCTATGTACCTTCAATTTATGTATATATGTGTTCTCCTGTGTACTATCTGTGTGTTGTGCATAAATAGATAATTAAATAAATAAATAAAATAAATAAAAAAACAATTACATTCGTTAAGTAATATTGTGAAATGTTAATACAATAGTATTTTTATGATCTGTCAACGTTAGTCACTTTGCAAAAGTTGTTTGTAAACAAGATGACGATGAAGTTGACGCGGCGATGACGACACGACACGTGATTTGTTCAAAACACACGATTACGTTGAAAAATAGACTTATATAGAATATTATAATGTACTAGTTTTAACCCGCGGCTTCGTTCACGTCACAAAAGGGTAAAAAGTAGCCTATGTGATATATAAACCTATACACACAGCGCCATCTATACCAATACTTTTGTTTTCCCTTGAAAATATCAATTTTTTTCTGGGATAAAAAGTACCCTATTATTTAATCCGGGCTTCGAACTTTACGTCTGCAAAAATTCAAAGCAACCGGTTTGGTAGTTACTGCGTGAAAGCGGAACAAATAAACAAACTCACTTTCCAAATTTGTAATATTAGTAAGGACTAAGGAATGAGTTTTTTCTATTACTTTTAAGACTTTGATTGCCAATAAAAAACTGTTGAAGGTAAATCCTCCGCTAACGTCGGTCACCGGTGACCCCCATGGCGTTTAACGTGTTAAGTGTGGGATAGTGTTGCTTCGGCACGGTTGGGCTGGTTCGGACGGAGTGTACCACGGCTTAACAGAAAACCGACGTGAAATATCGCTTGCGGTGCTTTTCGACGTGCGAGTGAGGTTACCGAACGCCTAATTACTCCCCTCAAATGCCTAATCCCCAAAAGGCCGGTAATACACTTGTAACATCTCTGGTGCTTCGGGTGTTCATGGGCGACGCCTATTGCTTACCATCATGTGATTACGTCATCCGTCTGCTCGTTTAGCGGCTTATCCCATTAAAAATACGTCTGTCGGTCCCTATGTTGGATTAAATGTTATAACTGTCAAACACCAAGCGGTCACCGGTGACCGCAACCTATTGTTCTATAATTGTGTCTATAATGACGGTACTCGACGAGTTAAACTGTAAAACTCCGCGAGGACACCGGTGACCGCAACCTATTGTTCTATAATTGTGTCTATAATGACGGTACTCGACGAGTTAAACTGTAAAACTCCGCGAGGACACCGGTGACCGCAACCTATTGTTCTATAATTGTGTCTATAATGACGGTACTCGACGAGTTAAACTGTAAAACTCCGCGAGGACACCGGTGACCGCAACCTATTGTTCTTTGATTGTCGCGGAGAACCTAACGGGTAACCGGGGCTCCGGCTCGACGTGCAGGAGAAGGAACGGGGTGGTTTTTAGTCAGTAAGAGTCTGACACTCCCTCTCGCCTCACCCAGACAGGAGCAGTCATTCGATGATTTTCCCCCCTTAAAAAAAAAATGTTCTTTGATTGTGTCTATAATGACGGTACTCGACGAGTTAATTCAAACAATATAAAACCTAACAATATAAAATATGAGCTGTTAGTAATTTAAAAATACTATGACATAAACAAGGATATTTTTAAAAAATCATGTTCGAAAAAGAGTTTAAATCTAGTTTTTTGTCTCTTTCAGGTCTTGATAGAAGAAAAAGGCTGGCAGATATGCGTGTTGTCATCACCCAACACTTTACTGAGAGAACGGTGACCCCGGGTGGCGATGTGAGTATCTTAATTTAAATTTCCTGAATTCGCAATCAACTACTGAGAGATAGACACACATCCTCTAATTACAATCTATGATACTAATAGAATTATTGAATTGTGGAAGTCTTTCGTCTGATGACATTGACATTTAGAATTACTGAAACTTACCAAACATTTTGCCGACAGCACTCGACACTGGCAGTATAGTCGACAACACCATTATGGAGACTCGGTTGCCGAAGAAGAAAAAAAAATGACTAATGGCCGATTTTACCATTCGTCAGAAAGTCATTATTAGTTTTATTTTATTTAATTTTCTTTTTAATTTTAATGTCTCTTAAGTTGTACATATTTATTTATGTTTTCCTTTCCTTATATTTGAAATACTTAGGTAACTAATAAAAAAAAAAAATTAGACAGATAATAAAAAAATCGTCAGATAATTTTTTACTGAGGAATAAATTTAAATATTTGGCAATTATTCCATACTAAAAACCGTCAAAAGGCGTTTATTCTATAGTTATCAATTAACTGACGTTATTTAAGTTAAAAGTAATTTGAAGAATATTTTCTAAAATATTTTTGTAAGATAAAATAAACATAAACAGTTTGGAAAACTTATTATACAGGTTGAAGAAAACTCAACCAAAAAAGTCGAACATTAAACTTACTGCACTAAACAAATGACTTGGCTTTTTACATGTTTTCTTTTATATTTGATGGGCCGACGTTTGACCACTATCTCGCCTGGACGTGATGTACGATGAAGCACATCGTCCCATAAGTAACCTATTCACTCGGGCCTTGAAGACACCCATATACCCTTTAGGAAATACAGACTGTGGTAAAGAATTTCACTCCTTAGCAGTGCGCACAACGAAGCTTGATGCGAAGCGGTTCGTGCGTGTCGATGGGACATCTACAATGAATCGGTGACGTTTCGCCGATTGTCTTGTGGTACGATGATGGAAAGGACTAGGGGGAATCAAGTTGTGCAATTCCCCCGCACACTCACCGAAATGTCTCCGGTAAAAAAACATGTTGTCTTTGTAATTTAGCTAATTTTACTTTCACATCATGATTTTAAGATCTCATTTGATTTTCAGACCACAAAAGCGTTTTCATTTGCTTTCTTCCTTGGAATGTACATAGTTAAATAATGCTTTATAACTAGAGAATGGATACATCAACAGCCTATAAATGCCCACTGCTGATCAAAGCCTCTTCTCACACGTAGAACGTTGGAGCATTAATCACCACGCTTGCTTATTGCCGGTTGGAGATTTCCAACTTAACACGATTAACGAAACGGAAACGACCGAATTTAGCTGAGGATTTACCTCCAACAGTTTTTTATTGACAGTTAAACCTTATCAATAGAAATTATAAGCATAGGTTTCCTCACGTCAGTGGTGTCTAAAATAATCTAAGAAAGTACCTACATATAACTCAGAAAAAGTCACACTGGTACTTGCCGTTGGTAGATTTCGAACCGGCACCCTCATGCATGAGAAGCTGACACCCATAGAAAGAAGCAATATAACTGACTAATTAGAACTGTTTGAGGCAGAGATTATTGAGATTTGCAAACTCAAAATTCTTCTCACAGAGTATTATTTCACTAGCCAGCTGCTTCTCACTTACATTACCACTTTACACACAATTGGGATGATGACAGGGTATGAAAATTAAAAAACTAATTAGTCCGTAAGTTAAGTAACTAAAAAATATTAGACACGTATTTTTTTATTTTGTTGTACCTATAATAATATAAAACGAATCAAAGTTTAGGAGTGGGGGCTAAAACGTCATTTCTACGTATAAAAAGTACATAGAAGTGACGTCACGCGACATTTCAAATCAATATATCGTCAAAAGTATTCGTTTCTGTAAGAAAACAAAAAATACTTATCTAATGATGCAAAATAATCTACTAGACGGGCATTAAAACAAAAATTAGGTATCTACCCTATTATCAAAATATTTCCGTAGCACATTTTTTAGACTTCTTACTCGTATTTCAACCTAAAGCCAACAGCTAATTCATACTTCTATTACTTTTCAGATACGCACTAGGTCAAGTGATGACGTCAGATAACTCAGTGGTTGCCCAGCTGAATATCACACGAGTCAGAGTGGAAGACGGAGGTCTATATACCTGTACTGCAAGGGAGGGAGACCATGTCGCTTCTCATGAGAATCGGCTGGATGTCTATGGTACGATTTATGTCGAAAATAGCATTACCACTCCAAGATATGAAGACAAAACTATGTTATCACTAGTTGTTGTCCGCGACTTCGTCGGCGTAGAATATGATTCATGATAAAAAGTATCCTACCGCCTAAGTCAGCCCATACCCTGCCTGAATACTAAATTTATTGATTTAATAAGTACACACATATAACACAAAGAATTACACATAATATATATTAAAGTAAAAAGGTACCACCTATTTCTATTGGAATATCTTCTTGTGAAATTCATCAAAATCCGTTCAGTAGTTTCAGCATAATTGACGGACAAACATACAAATATACAAACAAAGAAATTTACACGTTTATAATATTAGTGTCATTCAACATAAGCCTGTCGTTGGAAAGAGTCCTGACTTATTATTATCTGTAAAAATAATAATAACGTTCGACTAGACTACAACTAAAAATTTTTGGTTACAATTGTGACTGCTGACTTCGATGCTTTGTAGTTTTGGAAGCTGCATCAAATTAAAACTGGATTAAAAGTGATTTTTCACGTATAATAAAATAAACCTTAAGTAGATATTGAGTTAGTACCCCATAATTGACTGATATTATTTTGTCTTTCAGGTCCACCGTACATCAGGTCTCTTCCGCCAATCAAAGTTCAAAGTGGAGAATCAGTCAACTTGAGGTGTCCGTTTTATGGATATCCTATAAGGTATCTATGACTCTTACTTTTCTATCTATGCTCAAAGCATTATTTACTTGGTTTTTTTATGAGATAAGCCAGTAAACGAGCAGACGGATCACCTGATGGTAAGCAATCGGCGTCGCCTATGGACACCTGGAACACCAGACGCGTTACAAGTGCGTTACCGGCCTTTTGGGGATTAGGAGTTTGAGAATTGTTAGGGATTGAGGGTTATTGTGTTTTAGAACTTCTCAAGAGCAGAGTGTTCAGTTAATAATAATATAATAATAAAGTTTATTTATTCAGATAACTGAGATCCATCGAAATAATAGTAAAGAAAGAACACAATATATAACTATACTTAGATACAATATTAATATGCAATAGTAAACAGGGACTTAGTCCGCTGCACTAATTTACGCATCAATGGACAATCATGTCTCTCGACTATAGCAGTCAGGATACTGTGTCGACTTCCACGCAGGCGACTGATGAGCGATGCAGTCTTTTTGCGCCATAAAGCAGCGAATCCATCGGTGTGAGCATCAGCAAACATTGCTGACGCACTACAGAAACGTGGAAGCCGCAACAGTGCCCTGAACGCGTTATTATACTGGATGCGCAGAGCATTGTACGCTCTCTGGGTGTAGTTAACCCACAGACTTCCCGTGTACAGTGAGGTGCAATACGCCTTGAACAATGTTATTTTAACTGCGTCTGTACAACGAGAGAATCTGCGTGCCAACATATTCGCCCGAACCGACAATGCTCTGCGTTCCCTCTCCATATCAACATCATCTTTTAAATCATCGGTAACCCAATGCCCAAGATATTTGAATTGAGTTACTTTATTTAAGCAGACACCATCCAAAACAATCGGTTGAATAGGCGGATTCTTGTGATCCGATTTGAAAACCATGTAGACAGTCTTTTTCACATTATAAGAAAGTCCATGTGAGGCCACAAAAGACTCACAAACTGCGAGTAACTTCCGGAGAGCCCCAATCGACGGAGCCAGCAGCACCATGTCGTCTGCATAGCTGAAGTTGTTACAGCAGACACCATCAACATAACAGCCGACATGCATGCCGCTGAGCTTCTCAACCAGAGCATTTACGTACAGGTTGAAGAGCAAGGGTGAACTCAAACCCCCCTGCCTCACCCCACACTCCAACCCGCTCGCATCCGAAAGTTCATCCGCCCACTTCACATTATTTTTCTGATTGAGATACCAATACCTCAGAAGCGACGCTAACTCTGGCGGCACCCCAGTCCCTGCTAGTTTCTGCC